CATCGTATAACAATTACGCGAATAGCACCCTTTAGACTCCTTTTCATACTCCCGTTTCTGTTTCGTCAAATGGATGAAAAAAGCCTATTGCTAGCCCCAAACTGTTGGATTAGGGGGGAATGAACCCCATCATCTTGGGATTTTGAAAGCGACGAGTATCTTCCTTCCGCCAAGAAAATTACAGGCTGAAAATGGACCAAACACAAGATCGATATACATAAGCGTAAAGTGTAACACCGACTGAGACAAAGCATTTGCCATTAACTCCAATCTATAAGTTGCAGCAACTATAAAATCATAATGAAAAAATCTTTTTGTGGTATCAATCATGTTAAAAACATGATCTTTCTAAAAAAATGAACATAAAATTTAGCCAATATTAATAACAAAAACTTGATTGTTTCAATTAGCATATATATACACGAAGATATTCGATTCCGCCATTTTAATTTGTTAATAATAGCTCTAAAATATTTTAAATCTTAATAAATTAATACCATTCATCAAATTACTACATAAAAATAAAAAAGTTTATCGTTTAATCGCCTTTCATTACGCAATAATCAAAAAAATGTTGTATTCCTCAATTAACCTAAAAACATCAAACTAATCAACCGCGAATGCTGCGCGACGTCCGGATCCCGGATTCACCCCCACCCCCCCACTCTAAAACCTCCGAAAAGGATAATGACGAGAAATTAAGAATAAAAAAAATGCACAGATGTACAAAATGTTAATTAAACCAAAAAGAAAACAGGTGAAATCGCCTAAAATCAAAAGTCAGTGTAATAGACAATAATTGAGAAAAGAATTACTCTGAAATAAAACAATCATTTTAATGCATCATTCAAATACTCTTCTGCGCTCACAATCAAACTATGTGCTGCTTTTAAAAAATGGCTGTGAACATGAATGGTTTGACCTAGCTATGTAGATTAAATGATTGAACTAAAATAGTTTGGTATTAACGCACCCTGACGATAAATTTTGTACGAAAAGCCTGGAAGCAACTTCGATAAATTTTGGATGGATTCGGAGTTTTAGGTTGTTTCTCAGTAAAATCCTAACGTAATACCACGGCGAGCCGGCATAAAACTTATGTATATTCAATAGTGCTATTTGTGATAACTGACCATCGGTCATATAGACAATAGTACACACGCACTGTGTATGCATGGACATACTACCTGGATGTCTTACGAAAATATCTCTTTAGAATCAATAAATAAAACAACGTTTGTTTACTCTTATAAATAAAGTAATTTTGTTCATACAGAAAATTTTATACCATTTACGAACCCAGAAGTTCAAATTTTATCTGTTAGATTTTAAATCATTTAAACGCCTTTCTCTTGTCTGAATGTCTACGTGTAGATAGGAACTTACAATTTGTTGGGCAGTATATGCTACATGTATCTGTTGGATTGCACGCTCTAGATACACCAACACAATCAACACGGGGAAGTATATAACTGTTACACGAAGGATGGAGTTCTTATGATAACTTGTTCAGGTGTTCTAGTGATAACTGTCACGGAGTTCGGCGGAAAACATCTTCATCTTTAAAAAATGGGCTTTAGGTGCTAAATTTAAGCTTGTCTTACATCTTGCTATGTGTCAAAAACTAATGTATAGGCCATTTTTCACAAAAGTTATCATAAGAACTTTGTGACATCTTCTGAGTTATCACAAGAACTACAGGACATTGGAAAAATCGAGTATAAATCTGTTAGCCGGTGCTTTATGTTTGCAATTCTGCATCATAATTAGGTAATTATGTATAGCAAGGATGAAGGCTAGAAATAAACAGGTCAATACTTGCGAATTGGCAAATAATTTGGAAATTTTATTCAAAACTACCAGATTTTAAGCAAAACTCCTGAACAAGTTATCATAAGAACTCCATCCTTCGTGTAACACTTCCTCCCCCGTGATCAAAGTACGGGTGTAAAAAGGCTAAAAAGCAAAAACTGTAGTGAAAATGTTATATAAATCTATGAGTTCTAATTATTTAATAATGATCTATTTTATGTTATATATATTTTGTCCGTGAAACAATATGTATACATAATTTAAGAAAATAAAGGTCTTACCTTTATAATCCATTCATAAATTTAAAATGAAAGTCCCTGAAATTTGTGTTTAAAATAATGAACAATAAATAAAAGCTGAAAAACGACGACTTTAATAATTTAAAAACGTTATATATTGAAGTTGAAATTTTGGATTAAAAAGAAAACCCCGGTTTTTTTCATATATAAACACCATGTACATACTTCAAAAAAATTATTGCCTTTTTCCAAAATCATTTTTACTTTTATTGAAAATGCATTGCTAAAAATTTTTCCTTGAACATAAAATAGCGGTTTTAAAAAAATGTAAATTTTTTTTGTTAATCTATATATCCTATATTTTAAAATCAACACGACTACAAGAAACTTCCAATTCCACTATTTTTCTCTGTATATTTTTCTTTGTAAGATAAGCCTACTAAATTAAGAATTGTAAGTGGTAGATCCGTTTCAAAACTAAAACTCTAAATAAAGCAGTATGTTTATGTAAAAAACATCAACTAAGTGGCTGCACGATCATATTTTATTTCCAGATACTATAAAACGTAAGTAGAAGTTTGTTTCGTTTTCCTCAGTATCTTTATTATTACTTTAATCTAGCTACTTTCTGTTTCGTTTTTATCGACGTTCCTCGACGTACATCGCCTGCCTTTAGCCAATCAAAGCGAACATGATAACAAAATGGACGGTGGCGGCGTGGCCGATTGGTTATCGCGTCGGACTAGTAACCGCGTGGGTTCAAACCCTGTCAGGGGCAAGCCGTTGTTTCCTTGAGCAAGAAACTTTACATTCATAGCTTAGCAGGAACGATTCGAGAGTGTTTCAATAAGCTTAAAGCTTCCAACATAATCGAACTGAAATAAATTTGTATAAACGAGGGATGCTTAAATTGACTCGCCCAACCGGGTTGTCGGGTTACTTATTCGTACCACAGGCAATCGGTGCGTGGCTTGGATAGTATACATGTACATGACCACGCCCACTTATTTTTTTTTTATAAATATTTTTTTTTTCACTTATAAAATATTTTTTCATTCAAAATGTTTTTAAAATATCTTATTTTCAATAAATCAACAAAGGAAATTTGTTTTTAAAAATTTCATCCATATATACTATAAATATATTAAAGGTAGAAAAGTTCGCCAGCGGACCTACCACCAGGCCTTATGTTACCTCCCAGATCTTTGTTAATTGCCAACCAATTTTCACCAAATAAAGTGCAATCTACGCAGAAATGATTCTTCTTTCGAAAAATATACAATATTAGACCAGTTGGTACGACAAAAGATGGAATTTTAAAGCGAAAATGCACTTTATATTTATAGTATATATGGATGAAATTTTTAAAAACAAATTTCCTTTGTTGATTTATTGAAAATAAGATATTTTAAAAACATTTCGAATGAAAAAATATTTTATTATTAACAAAAAAATTATAACAAAATAAGTGGGCGTGGTCATGTACATGTATACTATCCAAGCCACGCACCGATTGTCTGTGATTCGTACAAGTCTTTAGTCTCTTGCAGGATAAACACTGCAAATTGCAATATTTTTTGCTACATATGCTATTTCTGATAGGAGAATGTAGTCTTTATGAGAGTATATATTTTGTTTTCTTTCCGAAACTGGCATTTAAAGAAAAAACTTCATAAATGCTTTTTTCCGGGCGGTGTTTTTATTGCATCATAAATATAGCAGGTCAGTTATTATAGTCCGTTTCAGAAAAAAAAACTCGCAAAGCAGTCGACGGAGTATAGATAGTAAATTCCATTTATTGTTCAATATAGAATGTGTAAAAAGTAACAGTTGTTAATTATGCAAGAAACTTATTATTTCTGCCGATTGATTCACTGATTAAGTAGCGCATGTGGTGTAACTAATTGTACTACGCGTTTAGCTAGAAAGTTTGAAGTTCGCGGCCTAGCGCCGCAGCGGCCTGAAGTTGGCGGCCAGGCCATTAAGACTAACTTGATATTTAAAGGTATATTAAAAGAAATAATTAATCACATATACGGTGCATTAACCGTGAAGTTGGCGGCCTGGCCATTAAGACTAACTTGATATTTAAAGGTATATTAAAAGAAATAATTAATCACATTTACGGTGCATTAACCGTCTTTCCACCATTATTCCGCACAGTATATATTGCGCACGAATTCAGTGCACTCGCTGGAATTCGGCGCATTTGTCTTGTCAATAAATATGATTTAAGTTAAAATTTAAATTAATTCTAAGTTGATAACCAAGAAGCACCTTTTACGGGTGCTTGATACTTACGTAACTTTGTTATTGATGATCAAAGATAACGATAACTTTACCAAGATTTTTGAAAAAAATAAATTATCCAAAATACCTGTTAAACTCTCTGGAAAGACGGATCTAAGGGTCTATAAATTTAAAATATTAATTTAGTTCATTTACAGTAAATCAATAACATTGAATCATTGTAACTACATGGGTAAAAACTTTTAGGTTTCAAGAAGCAAATTCGAGCATATTTACATGTATATACATATAAAAGTTGTGCATTTTTATATCGATTGATCTGGGATAATTTGAACTGAATAGTATGTATACATATATTATGTCCAAACCAAACTACATGTATTCACTGTCATAATATATTATTATAATGTAATATAATTAAGTCTCTGACACTTTATAAGTTTATATGATAATATATTAAGCTTTCAAAAGTTGCCACATCTTCATGAATAGCTCCTGTTTCCATATCTTAAATAACCAGTTTATATGATGATATATTAAGCTTTCAAAAGTTGCCACATCTTCATGAATAGCTCATGTTTCCATAACTTAAATAACCAGGTTAATAATGAGCGGAAACAGGCGAATATATGTGTGAAATACAATAAACTAGTTTTAACAAGACCAGAGTCTCATTTTTAGTTTTCCGGAAAGGTACGGTAATACCAGCAGGTAGACAAATCTCTTAAGTACTCTTCAATCTGGAGAAATTCAGGAAGTAAAATATGTTTTTTTCAAAACAGGAAAACTTGAACACAGTTGGTGTATATAGCAACGTAAAGGTTACAGTAAGTTTAAAAAGTTTTCATCCGTGCAGATAAAATTGAAATGGGCACATTGATACGACGCTGTCTGGCATTTTGTCCGTAGATCTCTACTTACAAACACAGGTGTTCGGTAGTCCAACTAATTGTACTGCGCGACGAGATATTGTGCTATTTTCGTGTCTGGGTCAATATCCTCGCCTCTACGTACAACATAAAAAGTACCTTTCTTGGTGAATTTGCGCCGGATTTTGAGCGCCAAAGCTTTGGGACCGTCTTAAAATCGTATAGAATTCATATTTGAATAAATTTTGTTACGATACCTTTAAAGATTATTCATTTATACATCGATTTCATGTATTTATGTGTGAAAATATTCCTAACATAAAGATTTTGATAGAAAAGTAAACACATGAACCATCCAAATAAAGACATCGCCCGCTAATGTCACGTGACAAAAAAACACTGTGATTACTACACTGGGTGTGTATTGCAGGTACTGCTGAAGTTCGTTACTTGAGAAACGCCGAAAAACTCTTAGTAAAATATCAAGTTAATGTCTATATTTAAACATTTATTTATGCAAAAAAAAAAATAAACTATGAAAGGATTGAAAATATTATTTAAATTGGAAGTAGATGCAAAAACTTATTCGTTATTGTCAGGGAGCGTTCTTAGAAATATCAAATCATCATTATCTTTTTAGAAAAGCTACTCTTAAATGACTCCTCACAAAATATTTTCTAGTTTTATAAAAAAAAAAATATTTTGTTCAGCTTTCCCAGTAAATATAGGACATGGACCTATGTAACTATAAGATTTTTTCCCACGATTATGATGAAAAATAGGAATATGTTAAAGCAGAAACACGAGGTTTATATGTTAAAGAGCAGACGAACGACTTTTCCTAGTTCTTAGCGACTACGAGAGGACGCCATTCTAAGGAATTTGACAGTCTGTTATTTATATTAATGTTGATTAACTATTAAACGATATTTTCAATGTTCAAACTATTTTTATCAATAATAAAACGAATAAATGTCAAACGCGGTATAAAACGAATATAATGCAAACCGGTGCCTCGACATTTATACATGTAATGCTGTCGCGGAAACAACATTCCATGTCAATTTTATTTTTTTATTTTCTAATCCACGCAGGTCCATAATTCTTGCCTTAGTTTATTCCAAAAAGCTTTCTGAAGGTGTTTATAGAAAAAAAACACACACACACGTACACACACGTAGGTATGAAATTGTTTTAAAATGACGCGTGGTACAGGGAAAATACTCGGGAAATTTATTTCATGAAATTAGGTGCCCGCTTCATTTTTTTTGTTTGTTATTTTTTGTTTTTGCAAAAAGACTTTCATAATGTTGGTATACAGTAAAGAATTTATTCCATTACATTTCACTTTTTATGCCGTCTTTAGAAATTATTTTTCTTTTTTATAAAATACACCATGGCCGAAGTTGCGATTTGAAGAACTCAAGGCGGTTATTTTACAATGTTACATAAAACAAAACGCTGCGCCACAGAAGTGTTAGGGTGTCGAGCTTCAAAACGATTTAAAATTAAAGAAATCAATTGTAAGCCCAGCACATGGACTGATCTGTATATATATATAAATATAAAGAATACCTTAATATAAGCCGTTTGAAAAAAAAATCATACTTTTCAACGTCCTATATAATACACAAGATAAATTATGTTCGCCGGAAAAATCCGCACACCTACGGACAAAACCCATGTATTTTATTCCGTTTTCCAAATTTTCACCATAATCCTTTGTCCCAAGGGGACACAGAAGATATAATTCTTCATGATTGATGGTCAATTTTTAAACTTCCACATCAATCATGAACAACGCAACATCGGATTATCACGTTTTACTCCAGTACAAAATCTTTCGACAAATTCAAACTGTCGGCACCCAACGTTGACAAATAACATTTCATTTGGATTTTTTAAACGGCGTTTTGAGTACCACACCCAAAGTGTCTGTGTTTCTTTGATTCTTGTCCCAATCATATAAGATTTAAGGAGTCTATGCCAACACGTTTACTCATTTTAAACAATAATATATGATACAGATTGCTACTGCCCCAAGTATTAAAGTGTTGCTTTGGAAAACGAACTTTTTAAATATCGGCAAGAAAACACGGCGCCTCTTCAGTTCTTTTTTTTCAATAATTTTTAAACGATTCTAGTGAATTAGATAGAAAACCAGAAAATGTTCTTAAATATTAAATGTCCCAAATACAAAACTTAAAAACAAAGTTGGTACATGTATATCTGCGTTAATTCAGAGCGAGGAAACTCGTGGCCCGTAAACACATTTTAAATATCTTACCACCGTTTAAAACAATTTTCATAAATTGAATTTATAGAAAGAAATTTAAGCAATTAAGATTATCTTCATATTACAGAGAGTGAATCATCAAGTATATTCTCTCTTATATTATTGAATTGAAAAATAAATAATCTGTAATTACAATCTAAAATAACTTTTCTTTTCAATTTGGACCTATATCAGCATGGAAAATTGTTTAACTGATTCCCAGATAGAATCACAGCTCCAATTTAAATTACTTATTCTATAAATCAAATTTATTATAAAACTTTAATCTTATAAATATTTAAGTTCGACACAAGTGTAAGATGGGAACATGTAAGTAAGAAGGAAACAGAAACTGCGCAGTCTACAAGTGATCACATTTCCGATAGTGGTTATATTGAGTCTAGCGTTACCGGTGTCGTATGTGGCAAGTTGACACGTAACGTATTGAAAAAATAAATAACATGGTTGGAATATATTTTCTATACCGGAACAAAAACTTTTCGCAAATCGCTTAAACAAACACCCAAACTATTACCAGGCCATTACGGCGATAGCTATGCTTATAGTCTTTAATTACAAGATTAAGTGGGTAACATGTACAACTGCAGACAAATGAAATAATGCAGCGCTCCTGGTCGTAACGAGTTTTACTTTTTCTGGAAAACTGTTGAGGAATGAAAAATCTAACGCAAGAATTACGCATTTGAATTCAAAAAAAATTCTTTCATAGCGTAATGCACGTTTGTAAAACAAAACTATTCCTAGGCGAAGGAGTTGCTGATGTTTAATACGCAGCAGTTGTAACTAACATTAAGTTATTCATACATAGATAATACTAACAGCAGTGGTGACAATATAAATTTTTACATCGAAAAAACAGTATTTGTTTATCTTTAATAAACATGTTTATAAAAAAGAGGTCTAAATTAAAAGTTTCTCTCCGCATCATTTTAAAGATTTCAATCAATTTAGAAAAAAATAGTTAAAGATTATTTCCTGGCGATTTATTTTAATGTAGCAACTCTAGTAAATTTTAATAAAACAACATTTTAGAGAATGATAAGCAACTGTTTAACCGTTTTTTCATATTTTCTGGCCTCTAATATTATAATGACAACCACTTCACGCACGCTGATTGCGCCGAACAAATATCACAATGTTAGCGTACATGTTACATTTACTGTAGCAACTCACACCTTATGGCGGCGTTGTACACAACTAGACGCGTGAAAAATTGAGAACCTAACGTGGTTGTAGTTTCTTACTAAGTTGATTGTCTAGCACTTTTGTGCTGATTCAATTTTCCTCTTAAAAATTGTTATTCGCTTGATATAAGCATTCTGTAGTTTCAAATTGGGTCCTATTATAGTTGCAACATCGAAATCCACGTTTAACCAACAGGAGAAGGTTTCTCCTTTTTGGTTTTGGAGATTTAAAAGCGAAGATTCTGGCGCCCTAGAACGAAAAAAATCTGGGAATCAAGTTTTGGGCACGTCAAATTTTGACAAAGGTGTTGGTAGTCCAAAAATTTTGCTGTGCACGCATAAATTTGGAAAGTGGCCCAGGTACCCAAAAGTTTCAGCCGTACGGATCACTAAACCCTGAAACATGTTAGGGTAGCGTAGGATTTTAAAAATTATGGAAGTGAAAAGCATTGTTATTTTGTGTCTTTAAAAAAAACGTTTTTATAAAATTCCTTTTGCCCTAGGTGTTCATTTAAAATAAAATACTCCGAAATTTTGCACACACAAAAATGAATAGGGAAAAAGCGTTGTAAAACCCATTTTAATAAATTAAAGTTAAAATTTTCATGTTATAATCTTTAATTTTATGTTTGATTTGTATGAAAGATGAAATTGTTTAATCGTTAATTGACACATGGATCGAATAAAGAAGTCGAGGGAATAATAAAAGAATTTTAAAAAAAAAGTAAAAAGGAAAAAAATTTAATAATGAAAATTTTTTAAAATGGACGAGGGAAAAATTTCCCCAAACCAGGGAAATTTTAATTTTCCCCCAACAAAAAATTATTTCGGTGTTTTTTTTTTTTGTTTTTTTTTCAATTTAAAAAAAAACAAAATGAAAAAAAAAAAGGTTTTTATAAAAATTTTGTAAACATTTCTATTGTGTTTTTTAAACTTAACCCGCTTTTTTTTCTCGAGTTTGAGATGACAAAGAAATTCTTTATACATACCAAACCGTCGATTAATTTCTTAAAAAGAAAATTCTTGACAAAAATCCTCGTTTAAATCATTATCAACATATGCACTTTCCCCTTTCCCCATAAAATTTTTAAAAAAAGGGTGCCCCTACGGGGGCCCTGCTAGTCGTACGTGTATGGTAAAATTTTGGCTGCAGTAGGGCCCGTACGGTGCCACTTCCAAAAATTTTATCATTTGGACTTTTTTACTTTTATTTATGAAAAAGGCAAACCCTCAAAAGGAGTCGATGTATTTTTACTAAAATAGTATAAAAATAATAGTCAATTTTTTTTTTCAATGCAAGTAACGGTGCGTGGACGTCACCGTACTATTTTAAATATGGCCCCGCCCTGTCCTGAAAATGAATACGAGTTTGAAAACGTTGATAAAACTTTGTTTATTTTATTTCACTTTATAATTTTTCAATCCCGAAAATAAACATTATTTTAAAGTGAAAATAAATGTAAAACTTAAAACGTTTTGCGACATTAAAAATAGCGTACTTGATTTGTTTGTTTTGCACTAGTCCAATGTATTTAGACGTTACAGGCCTTGTCGGTCACTAAAAATACGCACGGAGATTTTTGGGGCGCAACGGACGCCCCGGGCGCAACGGAGTTATTTTTTTAGAAAAACCGGCACAACGCCTTTTTTTAAAGTCAATGTGCTTATATTTAAGCATCTAAAATGATTGTTTATAACTATTTTTAAGAAAGTTTTAAAATATTTCATTAAAATTGTATATGTGTAATTGCACTGAAGGGTCATATGCCTAGCGAAATGAAAATTTCATGGCGCAACGGAGATATTTTTTTTCAGAAAAAAACCGACACAACGCCTTTTTTTAAAGTCAATATGCTGTATTTGAGCATCTAAAATGATTGTTTAGCACTATAAAGTAAGTATGATTTCAAATTGTTCATTAAATTGTATATGTATACACTGAAGGATATAATAATATGCCTGGCGAAATGGAAATTTCATGGCCGCAACGGAGATAATTTGGAAAAATCGGCACAAACGTTTGTACTATTGTCCTATTATATGAAATTAATTAACACCAATGTTATTTGAATAATAAATTTAAAAAAAAAAAGATTTAAAAACCTTAATCGTATATCAAAATAATCAAAGAGTGCAAGGTTGATGTTGTAAAAGGATTGTTGTGCCGCCGAAAAATGGACAGGTTTTTGTCTGCGCAACGTGGAGATTTTTTTTTTTTTTTTTTTTTTGGCTCAACGGAATCAATGTTAGTCCGAATTAAAAGTAGTTATATGAAGAAGTAAATCATTTTAAAGACATAAACTGAATTACTGAAGTAGGTGTTATATAATGTCTGTTTTATTGACTTTAGAAATGCGAATAAATACGTTTTTTATCGTTATGGCTGACACTGAAAGACATGTATGGATTTCAACAATCTGTTTCATTTTTTCCCGTTCAATTTCGTTATTTTTACGAAAAGTACCGTAAATAGCTTTTCTATACATAATTTTTCAGAATTTTTACTTGAAGAATACGAAAAAAAGTCCGTTAAAGCATACGCTGTTGACTTTCTAAATGTAATCTTAACAATAAATTATCCAAATTTCAACAAAACGTTAAAATTAATGGCTTATTGCTGCACAAAGAAATACGATTTTTTCCGTCATGTGATATTCGAATGATTGAAATATTTTATGCATTTTAAAATTAAAAATAGAAACATAAAACAATTTATTTTTTGATTGAAATTATTAAAATAGAAAAACGACATGCCTGTAAATTGTTTTAGTTTTCCCTTTTAAAAAATTTAAATAATTAACTTAAAACTTTACCTTAAAAATTTCCCTTCCCAATCAGAAAACCCCTTTAATCTTGAATACTGTTTTTTAGCCAACAGAAATTTGGGATGGCAAATGTTTTCGGGTGTTAAGTACCGATAAAAAAATTCCAATGACGGGGGTTGATGTCTATTGGAAAGGTTTTCAACTTTAGTAATGTGTTAAGGGGAAAATGTATTGACTTAAGGGTTTTACATTTTTTTTAAAATTATTTTTAAAAATTTGTTTTTAAAGTTTATTTTGCAATTTTTCACTCAAATTGAGAAAAATTGTGTATATGAAATGTTTGACTTTATAAAACATTTTGGAGCCTGACTCCACTGATAACGGTCAAGTTTTTTTTACAAGTGTTAAAATATTAAACACCCGTGCCAAAATCGTGTGAAGAACGTTGCTATTGCTTACAATTCTCGCGTTATTGATACCTTGTCATTATAACAATTATGAACATATTTGATTGTTTTTGATGAAATATTACAATTTTATGAACAAACCAATTATTGAAAAAGGTACCAATGATTAATGAAAGATAATAAATTAAAAAAATAATAAATTGATAAAATTTATGATAATCCCCGTTGTGCAGAAAATGTGTCCATTTTCGCCGTAATTTAAAATATCTTTACAATATCCTATTTTCAAATTTTCTAAATAAAGGAAGTTAATCTTTTTTAAAGATGTTACTTATTTTCTCAAAATCTTTGTTATGTTCAAAACATAAGAACTATCCGTTATGCAAATCTTCATTTTCCATTGCGCCGCAAATTATGTCTATTTCGCCGTCCATTTAGAATCTGATTATATTCAGTATTCTACCTAATAAAATCAAACTTATACAGTTATATGTAAAAAATATGTATAAAAATATCAACAATACCACTTTTATATTGATTATTTTATGTTTTAGACATAAAAAACAGTACACAGTTTTGAAAATAAAATCTCCGTTTCGCAATTATCCCATCGGCGCAACGGATGGTATAACAGGAAGGTATAACAAAAATACAATGAATTTTTATCATAAAAAAATACTGAACATTTGATTTCTGTAATATCAACATATTACTTTATTTAGTTAACTAATGCAAATTCAATTAAAAATTATGTATAGAAAAGCTATTACAGTACTTTTCATAAAATAACGAATTGAACGGGGAAAAAATGAAACAGATATAAAAATCTATACTTGTCTTCCGGTGTCAAGCCATTAACGATAAAAACGTGATTTCATTCTATTTTGAAATGAATTAAAACAGACATTTATAACACCACTTCAGTAAAATTCTTAAGTTAATCTTTAATGATTACTTCTTCCATATTACCTACTTTAACGGGGACAAACATTGTTTTCTTTTTTAAAATTTCGTTGCGCCAAAAAAAAAAAAAATATTCCGTTGCGCAGACAAAATGTCCATTTCGCTGGCACACAATCCTTTACAACATCAACCTTGCAGCTCTTTGATTATTTGATATACGATTAAGTTTTTAAATCTTTTTTTTTTTTTTATTTATTCAAATAACATTGTGTTAATTAATTCATATAATAGTACAATAGTAACAAACGTTGTGCCGTATTTTTTCCAAAATTATCTCCGTTGCGCCATGGAAATTTCCATTTCGCCAGGCATATTATAATCCTTCAGTGTATTACATATACAATTTATGAAACATTTGAAATCATAACTTACTTTATAGTGCTAAACAATCATTTTAGATGCTCAAATACAGCATATTTCTTTAAAAAAAAAGGCGTTGTGTCGGTTTTTCTGAAAAAAAATATTCTCCGTTGCGCATGAAAAATTCCATTTCGCACTAGGCATATGACCCTTCAGTGCAATTAAAAACATAATACAAATTTATGAAAATATTTTAAAACTTTCTTACTAAATAGTTATAAACCAAATCATTTTAGATGCTTAAATATAGCACATTGACTTTTAAAAAAAAAGGCGTTGTGCCCCGGTTTTTCTAAAAAAATATCTCCGTTGCGTCCGTTGCGCAAAAAATCTCTGTTGCGTATTTTTATGGTACCCAGGCTTGTTATAGTTTTTGTGGTCAGCCTTACGTCTAATAGTTATTGCTAAAAATGCCCATAGCATCATAAAAAAATCCAAAAAAATGTCTATTGTCCTGCCTTTCAAGCTTTATTCAAAAAGCTTTATTCATATTTTTTTCAAAATTTCATGCTCAATCATACACAAAAACTGTCAAATGATGTACTTATCAATTTAAAATCAAATATATAACATCAATCTATTTTTTGTCTATCAGCCATACTGGTTAGGCAAGGTGCTTTACAGATTGATTCCAAATTTTTGAACGGAAAAAATATTCGAACACAACTGAAACGGTGCATGGGGCATTATTTTCGTTAAAAAATATTTCCGTTAGATTGTTCTGACTCAGTTAAACGCTTGCATTTGAAATTAGCCAATCAGATTTCGCGCACTTTATGGCCGCCATTTGTTTATCGGCTGTAAAAGGAATTGAAATACACGAGAGGATTTAATCATGATTTTTCGGATGTGACAGTTTAATTATTTAGACAAAAGTATTTATTTTTTAGTTTTGTTCATAAATAGGTAAAAAAAATATGTAAATACACGCTGTCCTCATTGTTTTTCGTTCCGCCCGATTTTCTGGCGGAACATGCTATGGGTTTTTGAGCAATTTCAATATGACGTTGCTTTGGCCAGAAGCAAAAATATCTCAAAGCGACGTCATATTTATAGGACTAGTTTTGCACGTGCTGTTTGGCGCTACATTGTGACGTCACGTAAACAATACTTTAAACGTCTGTACAGCGTTAACGACTGAATAAAAGATATTGGTGTTCGGATTCATTTTCTTAGTTAGACCATTTTCTTTTATGCTAGATAGTTTTCACAACAAAATTCGACAAAAAATTGTTTTTATTTATCAGATTTCAAGCAAAATGGCGCCTTCGATTTTCATTTTTTATACACAGCTTCCGTTATTCTGGTTCCCTGTCCAATTATGGTTCCCATAGACATGCGCGGGTGACCAGTCTACACATCCGTTTTCAGTCAGAATTCCTCAGTTTTTATCGTTATCTTTAAATTCGAAAGGTTGCGATGTGTCCAATTCGGTACTTTGGACGAAAGTTTTCAAAACCATCACTTAGCAGGTACTCGCGTTACCGTAAAGTTCGCTTTGCGAGCAGGCCCTTCGGGCCAGCTCGTCGAGCTCACTATCAAGGCTTTTTTCAACGTCTTAAAGGATATATTAAAGTAACTTTTTATAGCGAGCGCGACGAGCTGGCGCGAAGGGCCTGCTCGCAAAGCTAGCTTTATGGTAACGCGAGAACCTGCTAAGTGATGGTTTTGAAAACTTTAGTCCGAAGTACCGAATTGGACACATCGCAACTTTTCGAATTACAAGATAATGATAAAAGCTGATGTACTCTGATTGAAAACGGAAGCGTAGACTGGTATCCTGCGCACTTATATAGGAACCATAATAAAAAGTGGAACCAGAATAAATGGAAGCAGTGTATAAAAACCGAATGACAATTTTAAAACGGAAAATGTAAAATAAAAATGAACGATTATTTTAAACTATCTTACGGTAAAAGAAAATCGAGCTCGCTTTGTGGCTTTGCCTTTTTCATATTATTTATAATTGTTACTACCCAAACAAAAAAATACATCAACAAATTATATCAAAATTGTGAATAAATCTGGAATAAATCATGTTTTCCTGATTTGTTAATACAATTTGTTCATGATTCATTAAATGAATCATAAATAAATTGTGCTTTTACTGGAAAGAAAATACCCCATTTATTATAGATTCATTACAAAAGACAGATTTATTAACCATTGATTACAAACATAAGATATATTCAATACAATTTATTGCAAATTCATTACACTTGAACTGGAATGTATACAATTTATTCATGATTTATTGGAAATAGAACTTTTCCCGACTGCATTTAATACCATTTATTACAAATTTATTACACTTTAAAGTTCTGAGATATTCACAAGTTGTTCATGATTCATTAAAATCAGAGATTTTCCAGGATTTATTCAATACAATTCATAACATATTCATTGTACTTCAGATGTTCATAATTTGCTTAATTATAACAGAAATTCATTGATGTATGTCCTTTTGTTTTACTGTTCATAACAACTAAACCCCTCTCAACTATACAAATATTTTTTTTAAATTTCCCTTTACTCATTACCGTACTTGTTTTTAATCAGTCACTGGAAAATATATATGGGTTTTTCAAGTCCCTTAGTTTAAGCATCACCATATTATTAATTCCATGCTCAGTGCAAAACGTAAAAAAAAGAGTCAATTATACAATCTCGTTTTACTGTTAAATATGTCTAACTAATTTGCATGTAGATTTTATTTTTGTGTGATCAAGATCAGTTTTTGTCTTTCTTATTGTTAATACGCAATCTGATCCATACCCACGGCTTTTTATGATTAGATCTATCCTTATAAGTAAAAAAAAAACTGTCGAATAGATTAACGTATATGCGTAAAAATGTAAAATGTCGTAAAAAAGCGACTTAATTCTCTCGGACTTAACATCTGTTGTTAGTTTATTGTTTTGAACAGCATGGCTCCCAGCCGCGCGATTAAACGATAAGATCTTGCAGGGAACTGCAGCCTACTGTCAGCGCCCCCTATCAGCCGACAACAGAACAAGATTAATAGGAAACGAAATTTTTTTGCCATTTCAGAAAAAAGATATCTTACCATACAGTTTTCTTTCTTTTGGATATAACTAATGTCAGAAACAAACTAACTTACAACAGATTTTGTCATTGCAGCTGCAAAATTAGGAACTTTATACAATACTATAGTAGCTAGGAATAACATTTCGTTTGCATTAATTCTATGCATAGAAAAAGGCGGTTATTTTGGAAGATAAAAAATTGTGGTGTTACACAAAAATATGGATAAAAAACAATATCAAGGCATCTAGACTACTGATAGACGGTAAGTTCAAAATTTTCTTTTCGTTCTACATAGCGTTTTTAAAAACCTTCTAGATCTATAACATATGTATAAGTTGACAAAAAATAAAATTTACTGGAGTAATGTGCAGATTAGGATAACGATCGATTCGCCCCATAACGACTCGCCCCATTTTAGTGACGATTCGTCCCACCCTAATGGCACCACCTTAAATTAAACATTTTTTTATTCATTTGATTTGGATTGAAAAATATTTATGATACAAGATACAAGTTTTAAAATATGCACGCATGTACATGCATTGTTTATGAGGATATCTATGTACAGCCCATTTTAAAAACATAAATCTGCATTGTTTCACACTGAGCTCATCTGCACATTTGAATGCTATGAAAAATGATGTTCTTTTTTATTTTAAGTGACTTCAGAAGACTATTTTTCTTTTACTTAGTTATCTCACAGAAAACTGAAAAGAGCAGCCAAGAAAGGACAGAACGTAAAAATCAGCAACTCTGATGAGATGGTAAAAAGCAGATGAACGGGAGATAATAAAATGCAGATGGACGGCTTCTTTGATCGTGAAGAGTTTGCTATTATAGTTATGGGACGAGGGCATTCCAAGGAAATGACATATATGAGTCTTTGAAGCGTAAGTATAGGCCATATATATTAATCATTTTAAAGATGACAATGTGCTTTTTAAATATTAAGTAAATGATAAAAAATAATACTTCTCAATCTGAATTTTGTTCATGTACATATAGTAATTCAATGTCATAGCCTTTCAATTTCGTTTTAAATTTAATTGAAGCAAATGGTAAAAAACTGGACTTGCTACAAAATATTTGTTCTGACATTCCTCTGTTGAAAATGAAATCGAACATTCACCCGTTTGTTTTATCAACAAATATTTATCTATCATCAGACTTTGTGAAATATACTGCTGTTTTTTATTCAATAGAACATGTACAGTCCAAATTTTAAATTAAGTGGTTGAGTCCTTTAGTGTATTTGGCTCAAGTTGAAATTCAAATTCAGATTGTATTGCAAATAGAACAAAAATATATTATACTTTTTTCAGAGTGATATGTCAGAAGTCTAAGTTTAAATTTTGATATTTTATTTATCAATATGATACTTTTTATGAGAATTTTCTTTTCTATTTCAGAGTATGCCATTCATTGCCTCAGTATAGAGATTCAACATTTAATGATTATAGGAATAAAAAAGGTGTAGCTCCAGACAGACACTGAAAAGGAAGGCAAAGATGTTTTCAGACTGACATAAAGCCCTAGTTTCTAAAACTAGAAATATATTCCTAACAGCAAGCACGAATATTTCCAGAATTATTCCCCTTTACTTGTTTACCTGACATTACCTGTTTTATTTACAGGGATATTTATGAAATGAGCTATGCACGTACATTATGAGTTTTCAATGTTATGATGTGGTGGCATAGATTTTTTCACAAATTTTAATCTTGTTGTATGTTCTTGATTAATCTAGTCAGCTTTTGTTTGTAAAAAATAAAAGAAAAATAAATAAAATTTATCAAGATATGTTGTTATTATTATTATTGTTATTTTCATATTTTTCTCCGGAATTGACACCATCATTGGAACCTGCATTTATTCAAAATCCATTAGATGAATATAAGCAGGCAAGCCTGATTTGTTAATGATTCATTAATACATTAAATTTCGGTTTATGGAAGAAGAAAAAATACAATTTATTAGTGATTCGTTAACAATTTATTTGCAATTCATTAATGAATCAGTTGGTCAGCGAACCTAATTTATTGCCAATTGATTGACCTGATTTGTTGATAATTCATTGACTAAGTCAAGAAAAGGGCCAAATTCATTACTCATTTGTTAAATTTGATTTATTAACAATTTATAATAAGTTGGTAAAGGGACCCAATTCATTACCAATTCATTTCACTGATTTATTAACGATTTATTCATAATGCATTGGCTCATTTGCATGTCATTTCCATCTTTAATAAATTGGGAATAAATGGTAAATTTGTTTATCATTTATTATACTGATTCATTCCTATCTTTTTTTTGTTTGGGTATAGTTCTTATCAATGAAATGCATGTTTACTTTCTGATTTTGCACATTATTCTTTCACCGGAAGTGTTATTTAGCAGACGCTAGCAATAGTCTAAATTATGTAGACGCTCATTAAAGAGCTCTGATATTTATATTTAGCTCAAAAGGATTTCAAAATGGCGGCGCCCAGTTAACTAAGGATTTTTTCACAGCTCATTAGGTAAAGGATATTTATTTTTTTTAAATTTTCATTTACTTTTACTTCGATTTCATTTGAATTGATATGCGTCATACATGTTATCTAAGAGCGCTACAGCTCTCGCGGGGCCTTCGGCCCCGCTCGGACTATCCGCGTATAAAAGTAAAGTGGTATAGTGTTACCCTGAGTGTTCTGTCATTCCGTCCTTCTGTCATAATTTCTGTCATTCCGTCATCATCAGTTTCCGTTCATTATCTAAGTAACTGTTGCACATATTCAACTCAAATTTGACATATAGATATGTCATGAGAAAATACAGGTCACGTTTGAATTTGGTCATGGTTCGATGATTTTTGGCAGAGTTATGCCCCTTTTACTTTGAAAATAGTATGAAATTTTCAGTTTCCATTAATTATCACCTTAACGGTACAACAAATTCAACTCAAACTTGACATATGGATACGTCAAAGGAATGCGCAGGTCAAGTTCAAATTTGGTTATGGTTCAATGATTTTTGGCAGAGTTATGCCCCTTTCACTTTGAAAATAATGTGAAATTTTCAGTTTCCGTTTATCATCTCCCCAACAGTATTACACATTCAACTCAAATTTGACATATGGATATGTTTTAGGAATGCCTTGGACATACGTATGTCCCAGGGAATGCCCAGGCCGAGTTCGAATTTGGTCATGGTTCAATGATTTTTGGCAGAGTAATGCCCCTTTCACTTTGAAAATAAAATGAAATTAACAGTTTCTGTTCTGATTATCTACCCAACAGTGTTACATATTCAACTCAAATTTGACATATGGATATGTCAAAGGAAAGAGCAGGTCAAGTTGGAATTTGGTCATGGTTGGATGATTTTTTGGTAGAGTTATGTCCTTTTCACTTTGAAAATAATATAGATACATCTTAGGAATAAGCAGTTTGAATTTGGTCGTGGTTCAATGATTTTGGACAAATTTATCTTTCCTGAATGTTGGAAAAATTTTGAACTTTCAGTTTAAGCACTCATACTTTTGTGGAAATGTATGTAGCCATTATTTTGGCTACAAATATGAAATATGCTATTTTCAAAAGGTTAAGACTGAATAATTCCAGTGCCTTGAACATTGTATGAAAATGGTTTGTGTTAACATTGAAAAGTTTTCAGGGCTTTGAACTTAAAATGAAAAAAATAATTTGTGCAAACAAATTCCGAACTTAATATTATAACATCTGAAATTTTGGCTACATGCCTGGGCATCCGTGGCATGATGACACATTTCTAGTTAAAAAATAACTTGGCACCCTTATAAGAACAATGTGAAGAGTGCAATAATTGGGTTGCCACCCCAAAGGTCAAGGTTACATTTTGTGTCTGTCCATATCATTTAATCCTTATCAAGTAAATTAATTATTTTTTATGACTATCCACATAAAAAATTTATTAATTGTAGGATATGTTTCATATTAAAACATGATGCAATTCACTGTCTATAACATGAATACAAAAAAAAACAACTCTTCAGAATAATTAAATTATATTGTGTAGTAATCTTCTAAAACAAATTTTTAATTTATATCATTTAATAATCAGCTGACCCATTTATTAAACATCAAAATACATCATTTATGATGTATTGTCTATTGATAAAAATGGGGCGGTACTGTCTGCTCATATTGCACATATGCAGACAGTTCGCCTAAATTAGGCAAGAACAGACAGGGAGGAAATGTCGGAGGAACTGGAAGGGAGAGTTTTTCAAGTGACATGCGTTTAAATACCATGTATATGATTGTAATAACATTGTTTCATTTTAAAAATGAGAGACCTAAAATATTAAAAGTGTGCGTACCTTAAACGAAGCAGCCTATATGTTTATTTCTGAAAATCAATGAAATTTCCCCTCCCCCCCGAACTGGCATTTTGGTGCGCTGTGAGGACGCAGAAATATAATAGTGACGGACAAAGAGTCATACCATAAATGATATTTGTTTTATTCAACATTATGAATCATTTCAACCAGTACTTTTTCACTACCTATGTCAACACCTATCAAAATAAAGGTGATCCGAACATTTAACTGTGACTTGAAAATTTCATATCTCACTGTTCATAGATTTTTGGGGGTTTTTTTATTTTAGCTACTTGTGACAGATTAATGACAAACTGCGAAAATCCATCTCCATTTTTTTCATTAATGACCTTAACCTTGAATGTCAAATTATTGAATTTTGCTTGTTTTTTGCCATAATTAGCTATAACATACATGTACTTATGAATGGATATAGTCTTTATACTATCCTTAGGTCAATGTCTTAAAGATTAATAAAGAAGGTCTAGTGATTGTAGGGCTGTCATTGAATATTGCGATATAGATATATCATCGATATTCATCATCCGATACAATATCGATACACACTTTCCAATATCGATTCAAGCTAAAATTTATTTATGTCTATTAATAAATATATACCTCTTAATTTTGCCTAATAAGAGAAGCCACTTTTTCCAGTTTTCTAGGCTAATTTGAACTTTAAACTCTGTTTTCAAATGTCAGTGACAAAAGTATCAGAAAAAAGACTCATTCTATTAGTTTGTAGTACTAGTAGTCTCATACAGCATGTACAAGCATGCATAACACTATCATCCTAATTTAAAACACATATTTAAATGTTTTTCATTCTATCTACTGTGAAAGTCAATATATCGATATCTCGTAGATATTTGTCTCTCGATATATCGATACAAAATTGTCCATCAATGACAGCCCTAAGTGATTGTATTTTCACATTTTTATGCTCCCCGAAAAAATTCAGGGGAGCATAAAGTCACCAGGTCGTCAGTCCGTCCATACGTAACAAATTTGTGTCCGGCCCATAACTTTGTTATTTGAAGTAGGATTTTACAACTATTCACAGAAATGATCAGCATATTGAGACGACGTGTCATGAGCAACATTTGGGTCGCTACATTGAAGGTCAAGGTCACAGCATGACCTTGCAGCAAAAATGTGTCCGGCCCATAACTTCGTTATTTGAACTCAGATTTTACAACTATTTCACAGAAATGATCACCATATTGAGAGGATATGTCGTGCGCAACATTTGGGTAGCTACCATGAAGGTCAAGGTCAAAGCATGACCTTGCAGCAAAATCGTGTCAGGCCCATTAAACTTCATTATTTTTAGTCAGATTTTACAACTATTTCACAGAAATGATCACCATATTGAGAAGGCATGTCGCGCACAAATCGGTAGATAGATCTCATTGAGTAGAAGTACAGTGCAAAGAACAGTAACTCTGCCTTGCCCAAGTTTGGAATTATCACACTTTGAACTTTATCTGGGACATAACTCAGAAACTACAAAAGATATACTTTTCTGTGTCCAAAACCTAGTCGGGGAGTATCACCTGGTTCAACCGGCTCTTGTTTTAATTATAATTGGCTATTTTAACTTTGCAAATAATAAATGCACTGTGTCCATACTAATACTTGGGCTCATCAAATTGATCAATTCTATGGATAAAACATTAAAAAAGACTTATTTGAACTTGACCTTTAGGTGTAATTTAGTTTATACTTATCTATTTTTAGTTCCATGTGTTGGAAGCTATAAGCTTATTGAAACACTTTGAATCTGTTCATGGAACCAACTAGTACTAAGCAATGAGTGTAAAGTTTCTTGTTCACAGAAACAACAGCTTGCCCCTGACAGGATTTGAACCCCAGTGGCTAGCAATCGTTAGATTACTAGTCTGACATGTTAACCACTTGGACATGACATTAATTTGACCTTTGCACTACAGGTCAAAGTTGTGAATTTTGCTACTATTGTCCTCTTTGTTATTTATTTATTTATTCTTGCTGTAATTATTTTCCAGGTATATATACACTCTACTAAGGATCCTATTGTAGATCACAGCTTAGAAATTCTTCACGATGGACATTGGTGTCTGTACTGTCTTACAAAGAAGGGATGCATATATAGGGTTGAAAAAGGTTGTGAAAAAGAGCTTGCCAGGTAGTAGCTTAAATAACATTTCTGTATTGAACAGGGGAAATTACTTTATCTTTGCCCTGTTGGAATGGAAAGTTATTAACCTTTGTCATCATAAAAGTCTAGATGTAGAATCAGGTACCTTGTACATCAGTGTGCAGTCAAATACTGTTGACTGACTAAGTGTCCATATTGATATCCCAACTTTGGTAAATTGACAGTCCCAAAAATGGATCCTGGTCAAGATCATTTAAGAAATTTAGTAGGTTTAGGATCAAGGAAAAATCTGTTGGAGAAATATTTCAGCTAAAGATGATTGGTTGGATATATTTAGCTTTTACACATAATTGATTGTACCTTTTCTAATATTAAAAGTACAGCTTTTTAACCAGGTTTTCCGAAGGAAAAAACTGGTTATTAGATTGAGGTATGTCGGCGGACGGTCGGGCGGGCGGGCGTAAACAATTTCTTCTGTGCGCAACTCCTCCTACATTTCTCAACGGATTTTGACCAAACTTTCACAGAAGCTTTGTCATCAAGTGCCCTGGCGCATATTGTCGGGGTTTTGTGATTAGATAATATTTGACCTAATTATGGCCCTTTGTTTTTTTTCCTTATATAAAATATATAGTGAACAATTTCTTCTGTGCACAACTCCTCCTACATTTCTCAACGGATTTTGACCAAACTTTCACAGAAGCTTTGTCATCAAGTGCCCTGACACATATCGCCAGGGTTTTGCAATTGGTGTATATTTGACCTAATTATGGCCCTTTGTTTTTTTTCCTTATACAGAATATATAGTGAACAATTTCTTCTGTGCGCAACTCCTCCTACATTTCTCAACGGATTTTGACCAAACTTTCTCAGAAGCTTTGTCATCAAGTGCCCTGACACATATTGCCAGGGTTTTGCAATTGGTATATATTTGACCTAATTATGGCCTTTGTTTTTTTTCCTTATATAGAATATATAGTGAACAATTTCTTCTGTGCGCAACTCCTCCTACATTTCTCAACGGATTTTGACCAAACTTTCTTAGAAGCTTTGTTATCAAGTGCCTGGCACATATTGTCGGGGTTTTTTGTGATTGGATAATATTTGACCGAATTATGGCCCTTTGTATATTTTTTCCTTATACAGAATATATAGTGAACAATTTCTTCTGTGCGCAACTCCTCCTACATTTCTCAACGGATTTTGACCAAACTTTCTTAGAAGCTTTGTTATCAAGTGCCTGGCACATATTGTCGGGGTTTTGTGATTGGATAATATTTGACCGAATTATGGCCCTTTGTATATTTTTTCCTTATACAGAATATATAGTGAACAATTTCAACAGTGCGCAACTTCAAAAATTAAGCAGAAATAAAGTACTGTTTACCTTTCTAAAACATTTGGGGGAAAAAGGCGAATAGACAAAATAAAATTTCTCAATCATTTTTGTTTGAGGAATATTAAAAAAGCCATAATTCCTCCTAAAAATTCAATTAAAAACAAATGCCCCTTCATGACAAAGCTTCTGTGAAATATTTTGCTGAAAACCTGGTTGCATCGCATTGCGATGTTCCTTGTCTGATTGTGCAACCATAACAGCATCAGTAATTTCATTCTGGAGCAAAGAGGATCCAGCCGTCTTCCTACACTTTAAAAGGTGCTAAATGCTTTCATACTTGCATTAATGTATTTGTAACATAGGGTTACATGTACTTCATAGAGCAGGTGACACACACATAAGGTATGACACTTTTTATGCCCCCTTTGAAGAAGAGTGGGTATATTTCGGTTTTGCTTATTTGGTTGGTCGGTGAGTCGGTCTGTCCGTCATAGACCACATGGTTTCCACTGATTATCTTAAAAGCTATTTATTACAAAGTATTCATATTTCACATACTAATTGGTCATAACTAGTAATTGACCCTACTGATTTTGGGGTCACTGGGACAAAGGTCAAGGTCACATGATCCTTAAATGTCAGAATTTCTGCTCATTATCTTGAAAACTATTTATCACAAAGTCTTAATATTTCACATACTGCTTGTTCATCACTAGTAGATGACCCCTATTGATTTTGGGGTCACTAGGTCAACAGTCAAGGTCACAAGGCCTTGAATGTTAGTATGATTTCTGCTCATTATCTTGACAGCTTTTTATCACAAAGTCTTCATATTTCACATATTGATTGGTCATAACTATTAGATACCTCTTATTGATTTCTGGTTAACTAGGTCAAAGGTCAAGGTCACAAGTGCCTTTAATTTCAGAATGATTTCCACTTATTGTCTTAAAACTATTTATCATAAAGTCTTCATATTTCACATACTGATTGGTCATAACTAGTAGATGTCCCCCATTGACATTGGGATCACTGTCAGAGGTCAAGGTCACAGGGGCCTTAAATGTCAGAATGGTTTCTGCTCATTATCTTGAAAACTCTGTATCACAAAGTCTTCAAATTCCACATATTGGATAGCCATATATATAGTTGATGACCCCTATTGATTTTGGGATCACCAGTTTAAAGGTCAAGGTCACAGGGGCCTTAAATGTAAATATGGTTCCCTCTTATTACCTTGAAAACTTTCTATCACAGTCTTGATATTTCCCATATTGATTAGTCATAATGGGGTCACTAGTTCAGAGGTCAAGGTCTTTTTATTTCACATATTGATTGGTTATAACTAGGTCATTATTTTTTTCCCATAAGTGAATACTTCCATGTACACATTTATGGCAAACTTCTATAACAGAATTACTAATAATATGAGTCAAGGGCTAGAAAGGGGGGCATATGTGTTGTTTAACATTTCTTTTTAATTTTTGTTCAAACTTTACCATTTATGATTATGCTGGCGGATTTCTCAGAAATCATTTAATCAGATACATTCTAATTATGAAAATTCTTGATTGATATGATTTTTTGCACTTTGCAGGTATGGTTGGCAACTTATACTAAGCAAAATTTTAATGATCTATACAATTCTAAAAGAAATGTATGATACAGCTAAATGAAAACACATTTCAAAATGGAATTATTTCATATTCATATTTCATGATATAGTTTATATAAACTGAAAAGTGATGTTAAAAAATGTGCAATAATATGCAAAATTATGGTTGTAAACTAAAGAGACACTAAACTATTTTCATGCTAAAACAATTGTTAACACATTGTCCTGCTTGCCAACAGATTGAGTCAAATTAAATGTAACTTTGTGAAATCTTTACCATTATTTATGAAATTTGTAAATCCCTTTCTCCATGCAAAACCATTCTTCCTTCCATAATTGTAGACAACCATTATATAACTTTTTGTTTGCAAGTCCTTTCTGCCAGTAACATTTTTGAAGCATTTACTGTATAAAGATACTGAATAAGGAAATTCATGTATTTACATGTGTGATGTAAAGTTATCAATTGAGGAATATTGTATATTTAGTTTCATGTATGAGTAATATATGGTTTCCAGGAAAGATGACAATGCATATAATTATTATGTGCTTGATCTGGTACAAAATATGTCAGTGACTTTAAGTTATAGGATATACATGTGCTGACTTTATCTTCAAATGTACTCATATTTATAAGTAAATGTTTCCTGCATTGATACTTATAATGACCATTTCATATTGAAGTTTTGCTATAAGGTAATGAGAAGTATGATTAAAGTTCAAATATCATCACTATTACTAAATTATCTTAATATTAAAGATATGTAAGATAATATGCAAAGACACGTTTTAAACTGTTTAAATGTAGTAACAACATTGAGCATCCTATGTGTATGACTGAATAGATCAGTCTGTATACTGTTGATTTATCAAGTTCAACAACCTGATATCAAAGTCCTTACCTTGATAATTAATTGATAGTTCCAAAGTCTCATTAGGTTATAACATGTGATTGCATAGATGGGAAAGACACATTTTATTCAGATGTGTTCAAGGCTAAACATTCCCACTTTAGTTATCTAGCATGGTAATAGTCTTTGGTCTCTTATGTACTATATGTGTTTCAGGCACAAATGCCCACCTGAGGATAAACAGTCAGAGATATTTTCGGATCTCCTTGGGCCTGAAGATTTGGATGATGTGTTTCAACTGCACATGTCAACACAGCCAGTCTATGTTCTGAATGATTCAGACATTATCATTAGAAAACTTCAGTACCCTGTAGCGCTATGTGTTTGCTCTAGTCATATCATTGCTATAACAGAGGACTCTGTGTTTTACACATTGTCTCTGTTTAGAAAACAATGTAATACAAATACTGCAGAAGGCATAGCTATACTTCCAAAAAGCTCTGGCCATGGTGAAAAAGATATCTGTCTAGCATCTGGTCTGATAAATATTATTACTCGTGATTGCATGGATGGGAAAGACACATTTTATTCAGATGTGGTTATTATAGATGTAACTTTATTCAAGCAATTGTTTGGTGAAGAAACAGCTCTTCTTAGTTCTCCAGTGTTGATGGTCAGTAAAATAGATGGAACAGTATGTTATATTCCATTATCATCTTTTGTTTCAAGTCCAGATAACTCGTTAGTTTCTAGTACCGAAAGTTACAGGAATACATGGAGTATTTTATGCTGTATGTCCGCCAATGTTGTAGCAATCACTACTTTAACAGTACTAGAAGATGACCGACCTACTAATGAACACTGTAAGAATGCCTTGTGTATATGCGGATGTGATGGTCAAGTGGTAATATTCTGGAGTGAGGATGGTAAAACAGAATATATCATCTCTGAAGTATCCATTTGTAGCCCTGTGCTTAGTGTTCAATCATTTCACAATAAGATATATAATACTAATGGATGTGCAATATTTGAAAGTATAGTTGAGATACCAGCAGATAGGAACAGCAACGGTTTGGCTAGGAATGGACAGCTTCAGATATCGGATACAAAGTTAGTCAGTAATGACAGTGTGGCTGTTATTCATGCAGTATCTTCAGATGGATATGTGGAGTCACAAGGTAATAATGATTTGATAGTTTGGTTAGATTCTTTAGCCAGTCTGATAATTCATGACCATCAAAATTATACTTGATTGAATTTATAAAAATTTGACTTGCTGTAACTTTGTTATTTATAAATGTATTTGTTTTATACTCCAGAAACAAGATTCAGGACTTATCTTACATATTATATTATTACATGACATTAGGCTGAAGACATTCACCATAAAAGGCTTCTATCATTCTTTTTGCATTTGGTAATAAAAAATAGTCAAGTGCCACTCTGGCTTGTGGTGGCTCTTGTTTTATTATAAAAGGTAAATGTTGGTATTAAATTTCTGCAAACATAGGGTCAGTATCGGAAGGATAATTAATATGAAACATGTTTCAGACAAGTTTCATGAGTAGGTGTCTTTGGTAATTGGTACAATAGTATTGGTTATTCAAACAAATTTACATTGAGGAATAAATTGAACAGCCATTGCCATACTATTGTCTAATCATGTTATGTTTAATAACATTGCTGGCATATGGTAGTATAGTGAAATGATGATCTGTAAAAAAGGAATTTGCTATAGTTTTTGTGAAATTTTGCCTGTTTTCTTTTGTTAGTTTCCAATTTAAGGACAAGTAAAAAGGTCTCTGACTATATTATGTGTCAATTAATTATTTGTAAAAGCGATAAATTGGCATTTCTGCATATCCTTCATTCAACTTGTTTAAATCTTTAAATTTAGGCTGCAGATATTTAGTAAGTTTGCTTATATTTATCTGGCTTACATGTTATGATTTTTTACTTTCATTGAACATTTCAGCATCCCCATGTACATTTTACTGTACTTGTCAGAATGGGCATGTTAAGGCAATCAAATCATCAAAACTGTTAGATAATCATTGTGACAATCAAAGCACACCTCATGGTAATTTGAAAAATATTCTGACATCAATTGATGACATAGGTAAAAAAAGACAGCACTTAAAGAATCAGAACAAAGTCCAAGAAAGAAACATTCAGCAGCTTGGCATAGCGTCATACGTTAATACCTGTTATGTCAATCTGACAAAAGGGATGTCATGTAATAATAGAGGGCAATTGGATGTATTTAGAAACGTGTCTACCAAGTCACCATTTTCTGTTGTTCTTTTGCCAAGAACACAAGTTGCTAAAGATAAGGAAATCATTGAAATGACTGCTGAGATAGTCAATCAGATGTCGGTGATACCTTCATTAGATTGGACAATTATTGTATCAGTAGTTACCTTAACTAGCAATGATAACATCTTGAATGCATCTGTTAAAATTGATAAAGAATGGAAAGAAAATGAGAAAGTGAGTGTTCCAATCCAAATAACTTTCAAACAAATATTGTCAATATGTAAACTTGTTGTTAAAGCAGTTCTTGCATTAGAAAAGGGTGGTAAGCAACAGCTTGAAGATGGAGAATGTAGTGGTATACAACATATAAGTATTCCAATATACGAAAAAGTTATTGATATAATAGACTGTTTGACACCTGTATCAGAGAATGTCAATGAATGTATTGCAAAATATGCATCCATTTCAAATACAATGATGACAGAACAGACGAAGAATCGAATGGAGAGGCTAAAATTGTCAACAGCAAATAATGAAGGTGTGTATGCAAATGACTTTTTGTTTCCTTTTATCTTCATTTACATTTTTATACCTCTACAAACAAAGTTTAGGGAGGTATATAGGAGTCAGCTTGTCTGTCGATAGGTTGGTCTGTCGGTCTACTTCATGGTTCCGGACAATGAATAGAAGTTTGAATCATCAATGATATTGTAATTAAACTTGGTTTATGGCAACCTTATGTGGAAATCCCAGTTCCATTTGGACAATAAATAGAGTTTTGAATCGTCAATGAGGTATTGTCATCAAACTTAATACATGTATATAGCAACCTTATATGGAAACCCCTTTTGAATTTGGACCCCATGAGGTCACGTTCGAGGTCACTGCTACTAAAAATTGTCTACTGACAATAACTTGAGTTAGGAATGAGATATCGTAAGCTAATTTTGTATTAAGCAAGAGACCTTGGTTGGTATTGCTTTTGGATCTCCTGGAGTCAAGGTCACCATTTCTTAAAATAGAACAAGAAACATGGCAATGCCACGAAACGAAACCAGGTTTTCAGTTATCACCATTGTAGATTAATCTGTTGTTGTTGAAATACAAATACAAGCAACAAACAATGTTACTATGTGCAATGTAAATCTTAATAATGAATTTTCTTTTCTTTTTAGTAACAGTAACCTTGACCCTATGGGGCCCTAAAGCCATCCCTAGTGAGGTCTTTATTAAAACTTGCTAGACACTAAATTTCATAAAAAATATCTTACTCCAAACTCTTGTTATTGACTGGAAACCTATTTTTGTGTCGCCTCTACGGAGTAGTGGCGACATATAGGGATCACTTCTTTAGTTACAGTGAATTGCCTGGATTTTTAGCAACAGTAACCTTGACTTCAAAGGACCCAAAAGTAGGCAGATGAGCTGGCAGGCGTGCAACAAACTAGATAGTTTCTGTTAAAGCTTTGTTAAATGTTTTAGTTGTGATTTAAAGAGTATATAACACTAATAATTACATTTTATGAAGAAAAAAAACAAAGGGCCATAATAAGGTAAAAAATAATCCAATCACAAAACCCAGACAAAATGCATCAGCTCACTTGATGACAAAGCTTCTGTGAAAGTTTGAACAAACTCCCTAAAAAATTGTAGGAGAAGTTGCGCACAGAAGAAATTGTTCACTATATATTCTATACAAGAAACATGGCAATGCCATGAAACCAGGTTTTCAATTATCACCATTGTAGATAAATATGTTGTATTTGAAATACAAATACAAGCAACAAACAATGTAACTATGTGCAATGTAAAACATGAATAATGTAGGAGGAATTGCCACTGAAGAAGTGTTCACTATATATTCTGTATAAGGAAAAAAAACAAAGGGCCATAATTAGGTCAAAAATTATCCAATCAAAAACCCCGACAATATGTGCCAGGGTGCTTGGTGACAAAGCTTCTGTGAAAGTTTGAACAAAATCCGTTGAGAAATGTAGGACGAGTTCAGCACAGAAGAATTTGTTCACTATAATTATATTGATAATTCTGTATAATGAAAAACAAGTTACAAAGTAGACATGAAATAATATATCATATCTTTTTTAAATTACCTCCAAAGATGATATGACCTTTGACTGCCAAATCAAGTTAAAATCATGTAAACAGGATTTTCAATGTTAATGTCACTGTGACCTTGACCTTGGAGCCAGCCATGCGGAACATGCGTTCTGCACGTCATCTTGATGTGGTAAACATTTGTCTGAAGTTTCATCAAAATTCTTCAAAGGGTTGAAGAGTTACAGAGCGGACAGGATTTTCAATGTTAATGTCACTGTGACCTTGACCTTGGAGCCAGCCATGCGGAACATGCGTTCTGCACGTCATCTTGATGTGGTAAACATTTGTCTGAAGTTTCATCAAAATTCTTCAAAGGGTTGAAGAGTTACAGAGCGGACACAATTTCGTTTGACGCCCGCCCGCCCATCCGCCCATCCGCCCGCCATACCCCAATCTAATAACCAGGATTTTCAAAATTGAAAACCTGGTTAATAAGGGAAAAAACAAAGGGCCATAATTAGGTTTAAAAATTATCCAATCACAAAACTCCGACAGTATGCGCCAGGGCACTTGATGACAAAGCTTTGTGAAAGTTTGGTCAAAATCCCTTGAGAAATGTAGGAGTTGCGCACAGAAGAATTGTTAACGCCCGCCTGCCCGTCCTCCAGCCCGCCCGCCGCCGACATACCTCAATCTAATAACCAGTGTTTTCCTTCGGAAACCTGGTTTAAAATGGTTTTCGAACAATTACTAAAGTTAGGAATGAGATACTGTAATCAAACTTGGTATATAGCAAGCTTATATGAAAACCCCGGTTGTTATTGCTTTTAGATCCCCTGGGGTCAAGGACACTAATGCTAAAAATAGAAAAATGGTTTCCATATGATAACTAGAGTTAGCAATGAGATATTGTAATCTAACTTGGTATTTAGCAAGCTTATGAATAGACCTATGTTGGTATTGTTGTTGGACCCCCTAGATTTAAGGTCACTGTTACTCATAATAGAAAAATGGTTTCTTGAAGACAGGCAATTAAAGGCAATTAATTGTAATATATTTGGTACACAGATTAAACATAAATTATAGGTTAAGTCATACCACTCATTTTTCAAAAAGTCAAGGTTGCTGGTGGGAGTACAGTATGGATCATCATAAGTGATAGCTTTAGTTCATTTTAACCTTTTACATCATATATACGCGAAACAACGCATTTTCGACCCCCCCCCCCCCCCACACACACACACACACTCTTTTAGGCCTCAAATAGTGAAAAAATGTCCTGTTTGGTCCCCGACACATGTTTTTGTTTGAGAAATGTTGATAAAAAAGTGAGCACTTTTTCGGCGCCATCCCCGATCCAAAAGGTACATCAGGGGAATGCCAGAAGGGGGATGTGCCCCCTTCTGTTTGGGGGTTTAAAGGGGGCGGCAGTCCCCCTCATCGCCAAAAAAAAGTTTGGACTTGTGAGAGGCTAAAAATGACCCCAGGTCGATCATAAGGGAACGTGTAACCGACGCTCAAAAGCCTTTGACTCCATTGAGAAGTGCAGCACTTTGAAATCAATTTTGATGGAAAATAATCAAGGCAAAATAGTGATTTTTGGCAATTTTGAGATGTCCCCTCGTTGCCATGGTAACAGGAAATTAAAGACTGAGCATGTTTTTACAAAGGCAATGGTCCAGTCAACATTTGTGCCAAGTTTGATTAGAATTGAAGAACTTTTTATAGTTTCATAGCAATTTGAACTTGTAACGGGAGACTTATCCATGAAAACAGCCATTTTTCACAAAATGCTCATTGCAGTAATGGGTTAACCAGAAAGATTTATTTTTAGCTCACGTGGGCACATCACTAGTCCGACTCGTTAACCTTTCGGTCATGGTGTCACTTTTTATAAAGAATTAATTTTGTGTATTTTGAATTATTTTGGAAAATCATATTTAACTGTATTGCGATTCGTCTACATGTAGCTTATTCAAAACCCATATCCTGATTTGTGCTTTTGTATTAGGTAGAAAACAGACCTGATTTGGTCTAACATATTTTTCAAGAAATATATCGTTAAAGATCTCTTACTGTATGTACTTCATGGTCAAGATAACGGTCACATACTTAAAAGTTGCTACATTTATTCCATTATAAAAATTAAAACCACTTTTCTTGCATGCATGCGATCCAAATTTCAGCTATTATTTAATGGTTAAAAGATCTGCCTAAATTCCTAATTAACTGAGGGTCATATTTTACAAAGAACTATACTCTGATATGCGAGATGCCAAAAGAATAGGAATGTCAATGCTTATCTTCACTCTCAAATATTTATTGATAAGGATTTTATGCAACTGGTTGTATTACATCGTCAAAACGATTCTGCGTAAATCGTTATTACATGTAAATATATATATCATATGAAGCTTACCTTGTACACGAGAACATAGTCCATTCAAATATTAGTAATATTCATACATTTTCTTTATCTTTCAGATAATTTGAATTTAGATTAAGATTAAATTCGACATTTTTAAAATCGTAAAATGTTGATATACTTGTACTGAGGGGTGTATTTAAAATTATCTTGATATGTACTTGAAGGCATTCTTTATCGATTTAGATTGATAAGGAAATGAGTTGTTTAAGGTAAGATTCGGTGATAATCTGACAAATATTCAATGTGGAGGATCCCCTAAGGCCTTATCAAAATTGCATATATTTTATATCTGATAAATTAATATTCAATACAAACTGGCATTTTCCCTATAGAATGAACAGTCGCGACTTATATCGCATATAAATGTCGGTGTTAAGGACTCCTGTGAAGCTACAAAATTATATGCATATCATTATTGGTGAAAGATGATTAAATGGCGGGATTGTAATTTACATTAAAGACTTGTCAGCAACACGGTTAGAATTCAATGGAAGGAAACAATGTCACCAGAACTGAAGGTTCAAGGTCAGAGCTTTTAGTATCAAAGGGGGATGCTCCGTCGTCCGTCACCATGCGTCAACAATCATCTTCTTCTCTGAAACTGCTGGGCAAATTTACCTCAAATTTTGTCTGTAGCATCCTTGTGATAGTCACACTTAAATTTGCTCGTGCCATTTCAATTGGCCCCTTTGAGGGGTCAACAGAGCTAAAAATAGAAAACCCTTTAAACATCTTCTACTTCTAAATTAAATGATGGATTATCACCAAAATTTTGCTCTTTTTAATTTGATTGGCCCCTTTTGGGGATCTCTAGAGCTTAAAATAGAAAAACCTTTAGACATCTTCTTCTATAGAACTAATGGATTGATGATCACCATACTTTGTCTGTAGCATTCTTAGGTAGTCTTTTATCAATTTTGCTTATATTAATTTGATTGGCCCCTTTTAGGGGCCGCTGAAGCTAAAAATAAAAACCTTTGAACATCATCTCCTACTGAAATAATTGATGGATGATCACCAGACTTTTTCTGTAGCATTCTTAGGTAGTCTTTTATCAAGTTTGCTTATGTTAATTTTATTGGCCCTTTTTAGGGGCTGCTAAAGCTAAAAATAGAAACATCTTTAAACGTCTCCTACAACAGAACTAATTGATGGATGGTCACCTAATTTGGTCTGTAGCATTCTTATGTAGTATTTTATCAAGTTTGCTCATATAAATTTGATTGGCCCCTTTTAGGGGCTGCTAAAGCTAAAAATAGAAAAACCTTTGAACATCATTTCCTACTGACATAATTGATGTATGATCACCAAACTTTGCCTGTAGCATTCTTACGTAGTCTTATCAAGTTTGCTCATTATAATTTGTTTGGCTCCTTTTAGGGGCCGCTAAAGCTAAAAAATAGAAAAACCTTTGACCATCGTCTCCTGAAATAATTGATGAATGTTCACTAAACTTTGTCTGTAGATCACTAAACTTTGTCTGTAGCATTCTTAGATAGTCCTTTATCAAAAAAGCTAAAGCTAAAAATAGAAAAACCTTTGAACATCATCTCCTACTGAAATAACTGATGGATGATCACCAAACTTTGTCCGTAACATTCGTAGGTAGTCTTTTTAATCAAGTTTGCTCATATTAATATGATGGCCCCTTTTATGGGCCGCTAAAGCTAAAAGTAGAAAAGCCTTTGAACATCATCTCCTACTGAAATAATTGATGGATGATCACCAAATTTTGTCTGAAGCATTCTTAGGTAGTCTTTTATCAAGTTTGCTCATATTTGATTGGCGCCTTTTATGGGCCGCTAAAGCTAAAAAAAAGAAATACCTTGAAACGTCTCCTACAACAGAACTAATTGATGGATGGTCACCAAATTTTGTCTGTAGCATTGTTATGTAGTCTTTTATCAAGTTCGCTCATATTAATTTGATTGGCCGCTTTTAGGGGCCGCTAAAGCTAAAAACAGAAATACCTTTAAACGTCTGCTTCTACAGAACTTATTGATGGATGATCACCAAACTTTGTCTGTAGCATTCTTAGGTAGTCTTTTATCTTTTACTGAAAAAACAGTTGTTTCTGGTGAGCGACGCAGGGCCATTATGGCCCTCTTCTTTTTTTTATCGAAGGGCACAACCTTTATTGTTTTTATTTTATCGAAGGCCACAACTTTTCCACCAAAACAATTGTATGTACTAAAATATAACTTTTTATTATAATGTTCAAGGTGATGAGGATATAACTGTAAGCACAAAAAATGTTCTTCATTTACCTAAACTGGAAGATGAAAAGGACGGACATGATAAAGGTAAATAAAGTGTTGTTTTTATGATAACTATTGTGTTGTTTTTTATGACAACTATTGGGATGTTGTTTGAAAAGCATGCACTAGATGTGCAAAGTACTTAATAGTCTGAGGGATAGATTTTTGCGAATACCAGTATGTTGTCAAGGCATTTCAACTAAAGTTTCCTTGATAAATTAGTGATGAACAAAATCTTGAATAAAAGGAGAAAGGTTGTGGTGCGATATCTGTGGATTTTCCAGTGTGCTTATTAGTTTTCTGTACTATCTAGTAATTATACCATTGAAAGCATTTTTTATTACAAATTGAATAGCAAAAGTTGTTGACACAAACGTTGTTAAAGTTGACATCATTGTGTACTTTTGTAATTATTTTGCATTTCTGTAGCTCATAGAGTTCTAGAAGCTCTTTTTGGTAAGACTGTATCGGACAACAGTGGCATAAAACCTTCCAACTGCCAGCTATCGACAGCCCTTGGGCATGTTGTGCATCTAAGTGTACTGCCAGTAGGAAAGGACCAGATAAATGATGGGAATGTATCGACCGGAGAAATGGGGGTATTTGAAGTGATAGTCAGAAGCAGCCCATCTATTGCTGCAGCTTTGCATAAAGCCATTAGTCGCCGGGAACAAGGGGTAATGATTAGATTTGTAGTAAAACAGATTTTACCAATAGGGAACCTAGTGTCTGTACAAAAATAAAGTGACTTTCTTCCTGTCGTTTCCTCTGTGACTACTTCTCTAATTTCGGGCGGGGGAAAAAAGAATGCATATGTGCAGGCTGTTCCTGTTGATTTTATTCTTACCATTATAACTGACGTATTTAAATGTGTTTTACAAATATACTATAAAGAGCCAGTCCATGATAAGTCTTAAAGTTGTTATCCTTTCTTGAAAGATATGAAAAACAAGTAAAAGGACTTGATAATTATCATGTGAAGATTAAATGCAGTGTTTTTACTTTCCCTATCAAGCCTCCATTTATTGTGTTGATACCTGGCATGCACACGGTCAACTTTTAAGTCAGTCAATTCTGACAGGGTTTTGAGTTATCCAAGACTTCTGCAACAATTTCAATCCTTCGATTTCGCAAATATCCTTGTTTAAATCTTATTTCATAGCTGATAAGGGCTTGTTCACTAGCTCTTTTATAAATTTACATTTAAACAACTGTTTGTTTCACTTTGTTTTATTGGTGGTAAACAGTACCTTTCCGAGAAATAAAGTTAAAGATTGGTACCGATTAAATTGTCAATGTCAAAATATCAGAAGTGGTATATTTCAATTATGTTTTGTAAATTGTTTGTTATTAATCTTTGATTTTGTTTTCGTACATTCTTGTGATGGATGTTTTATAACGAAATTATTTTATCGTTTCTTAGTATTAGTTGTGCTTTCAAAGTAAGTGAGTTCAAAAATGTTATAAATCAAATTGCATTTTGACTAATCTTTTAATATTTTGCTCTTCATTGTGCTGATATTGAGGGCATACTAGTAGTTCAGTCAAATAGTTGAAAAAATGTGTTTACGATTATTCGAATATGTTGCACTTCAGTTGGAGGATAGGGAGAGGCAAATTCAATACCACAAAATAATTTAATGAGGTGCCCATAGGTCATTTCCGATTCCGAAATTATGTTAAAAATTTTTGTGTATGTTTTACGTCATAAAATCTTGCAATTGTATGACTTATTGGTCTTCCAAGTCATCATGTTTTTGCTTACATAAACGCATGACATCAAGACCTCAAAGAAGAACTTTAGCCAGTTACAAGACGTGAAAGCGTAACTATGTCGGAAAAATTGCAAAACTGAATGACTTTTCGATTTTCTTTATCAATAAAAAAGATACATGTATATAATTCAAAGTCAAAAAAAAAACTCTTGAAACTTTTAACTCACAACTTTAAAATTTCAGATTGTCATAGCATTTGGAAATAATAAACAACCGGCGGTTTCAGTACAACATTGTCGGAAAGCTATCAAAATAGCAGAGGTATTCCCTTTCATTGCAATATGTACGACTGCGGGCATTGAAATGCCAGTGCATGACATAAGTTGCCTTGCGACATTGAACGAGCAAACAAATTTCTGAAATAATCGAATACTAAAATTTTTACTTCTTAAATTATAACGGTAATTCACTAGTCATTTGTAACACAGCTTTACAGCCTTTTACTTGTACAGCCTTAGATAGCGGGAGAACTAAGTTTTTACCATTTGTTATTTCACCATAATAGCGGTGGATATGTTAAGTGCGAGAGCATTAAGTGGCAAGTTTTAGCATCTGACTGTCCCCGCAATACGTGGCTTTTATCGCGGAGTTTATATATCAAAAGTGAAAATTTTACAGCTATTATCCCAAAGGGTTAAGATGTTAGGGCGCATAAATGATATACATTAATTAATATGAATAATTTATTCAATACATAATATTATGCAATTTCCAGAAAATATGTAAATGTTTACCTACATTTTATTCTTCAGGATACGATCAATGATGTAAGCGGCATCACTCCATACAAAACAGCTTCAATACCGTCTGCTTTCCAGAAATTGAGGAGTGTATTTCTCTGAAACAGATGATTGCATGATTAAAACAATATTGTCAGGGTTTCCCTGAATCGACAGGTGCCTATTCTGTTATTTCTGTTAGATATATGACAATAAACATGAACTGAACTGATTTTGTTCTTATTGTTACAATTTGTGCTTTCAATTCATTCCCAGTATATAACATTTTGTTTTTGTCATATTGAGGTTATGACAAATTACCAGCTTTACTGATGGAGAGATACCTCATGTGCTGCCACACCTGTGTATTATTTCAGGCAAATATGAGTGAAACCACAAACATTTTTAGCTCGACTATTCGAAGAATATGAGAGCTATTGTAGTCGCCCCGGCGTCAGCGTCCGCGTCGGCGTCTGCGTTGGTTAAAGTTTTTTGTAAAGTCAAATATCTCAATTATTACTTGAGATATTCAATTGAAACTTACAATACTTATTTACAGTAACAAGGTACATCAGATTGACAAGTTGGATAACTCTGCCTACAATATTGACAGAATTATGCCCCTTTTTAACTTAGTAATTTTGGTTAAAGTTTTTTGTAAAGTCAAATATCTCAATTATTGCTTGAGATATTCAATTGAAACTTACAATACTTATTTATAGTAACAAGGTACATCAGATTGACAAGTTGGATAACTCTGCCTACAATATTGACTGAATTATTCCCCCTTTTTAACTTAGAAATTTTGGTGAAAGTTTTTTGCAAAGTCAAATATCTCAATTATTGCTTGAGATATTCAATTGAAACTTACAATACTTATTTATAGTAACAAGGTACATCAGATTGACAAGTTGGATAACTCTGCCTACAATATTGACAGAATTATGCCCCTTTTTAACTTAGAAACTTTGGTTAAAGTTTTTTGTAAAGTCAAATATCTCAATTATTGCTTGAGATATTCAATTGAAACTTACAATACTTATTTATAGTAACAAGGTACATCAGATTGACAAGTTGTATAACTCTGCCTACAATATTGACAGAATTATGCCCCTTTGGAACTTAGAAATTTTGGTTAAAGTTTTTTTGTAAAGTCAAATATCTCAATTATTGCTTGAGATATTCAATTGAAATTTAAAATACTTTTTTATAGTAACAATGTACATCAGTTTTCAAAATTGCATAACTCTGCCTGCAATGTTTGCAGAATTATTTGCCCCTTTGAAACTTTGAAATTTTGGTTAATGGTTAAAGGTCTTCAAAGATATTTACTTGAAACTTTACATATGCACTTAGGGTCATAATTGGAGGGTCATAATTGTATGTCACTGACCAAGTTCCATAACTCTATCTTGCATTGAGGCTGATTCATATCCCCTTTTCTACTTAGTCTCTTGGTTAATGTTTACATGCAAGTTTTACACATCTAAATAAATATTGAAGATATCTATTTAAAACTTCACATATGCATTTAGGGTCATAATTGTAGGTCACTGACAAAGATCCATAATTTATCTTGCATTTAGGCTGATTTTTCTCCCCTTTTTCAACTTAGAAATTCATGGTAAAGTTTTGCTTGTAAGCTGTTAATAACTACTGAAGGGTTTGTGCATTTTTTTTTTTTTTGACAATTTTATGCATTCATAATAATAAAGCAGTGATTTACTTGATAAAACATCTTAATAACAAGCCTTTGTACCTTTTCTGTCAAATTTATATATTCATAGGTAATTAGTATTATTATACTCAATAAAACACCCTTGTGACATTACCTTTCGAATAGTCAAGCCAATACTGTATAATTAGACTCTCTCTAAGGCCTATAACATCAATTTATAGAAAAAATTAGCCCTTTTGTGAACTTAAAAAAATTAACATTATCAAGGCTCTTTTACTATCAAGCACTAAGAATAGTCGAGCGTGCTGTCCTACCGACAGCTCTTGTTAGTTCACCTGAGCACAAAGTGCTGAAGGTGAGCTTTTGTGATCACTATTTCTCTGGCGTCCATCATCCATCAGTGCGTCCGTATGTCTGTCATCAACTTTTCTCAAATGACTTCTCCTCTGAAACCACTGGGACATATTTGTTGAATGCTCCTAGCATAAAGCTGAGTACTAAAAAATTTCGAATTGTTCTGCTCCATTAAACATCTGGGTCAGAATGGCTCATGAAATCTTTAAAAAAATTCTCTGAAAATGCAAGGCCCAGAGCTTAGATATTTTTGTGTATAGTATCATCTTATGAAACTTTACAAAAATTGTTCCACCCCAAAGGGTCATGGCTTTTCCTTGTACGTGTAGTAAATACTTCAAAAAATCTTCTTGAAAACTGTAAGAGCTATATCTTAGATATTTAGCATGAAATATAGTCTAGTGGATTCTAAAAAAATTGTTCAATTTTTTATTTATTTTTTTTGGACTCGGGTTTTACGTCACACTGACACAGTATAGGTCATTTGGCGATTTTCCAGCTTTACTGGTGGAGGAAGACCTCAGGTGCCCCTCCGTGCATTTTCAGGCACGAACGGGCACCTGAGTAGAACCACCGACGTCCCGTATGCTAGCTGGATAGCTTCCTCACATGAAAGAATCCAAAGTCCCTGTCGGGATTCGAACCCACAGCGGTGAGGGGAAAGTGGTTTGAAGTCAACGACCTTAACCACTCTGCCACGGACGCCCAATTGTTCAAATAATAGCCCTTGTATGAAAATTGCCTCCGACCCAGTGGTCATGTGTTTTACTACAAGCATTTAGGCTAAAGCTTAGACATTTAGCATTAAACATTGTCTAGTGGACGTCTACCAAGTGTGTTCATGCTTAGATATTTGGCATGAAACATTGTCTAGTGGACCTCTACCAAGTATGTTCAAATTATAGCCCTAGTGTCAAGATTGGCCCCGCCCAAGGGGTCACTTAGTTTATATAGACTTTAATAGGAAAATATATTTAAGTATTTTCCGTAAAACTACTACTATGTCAAGAGCTTAGATATTTGCCATGTAGAATTGCCTTGTGAACCTCTGCACAAGTTATATGAATGATAACCCTTGAATGGCCCTGCCCTGGGGTCACTCACATAGACATATATATGTAGGTGTCACTTGCATAGATTTCTGTATACGTCAATTATGAAAAACAGATAACAATCTAGAAGAACCATTTTCAGCCGAAATGCTATGGAAATTGGTCAGAAAAATTGTTATGTTGATTTCGAGCTCAACTTTGAATGTGGGTCATCTGGGGTCAAAAACTAGGCCATAGAGCCTAAAAATGACAAATGCCTTGTAAACACAGGTCGTAACTATAGGTTACCCTGTATATTTTCAGTACAAATATCCTGTAAATTTGTCAGCAAGGTTTCAATGAGTTCTATGTCAAAATTAAATATGGGTAATCTGGGGTCAAACACTAGATGACACTGCCCAAATATGGCCATCATGGCCCTCTTGTTAAACAAAAAGATTTGGTAATGTAATATTTAACGTACATTACGTGTTATGTTCCCCAAAGACGTGAAGACAAGTGATTGAAATTCAGTGACGACTCAATAATGCATACTATAACAGTGGCCTTTTCAAGACGGAGATTACCTGTCAATTTTAACGTTAAATGTTAATGCAATCGGAACACTTCAGAGACTATTCATAATCATCTCAACCTTAATAAGGTTTTTAACAAAATTGAATGTGAACAAAAATGAATATAGTGTATAATGAAAAACAAATGTATAAATGTATATATTTAGTATCCAAAGGTAAATAAAGTATGTTTATGTAAAAATATTATTGCAAAATATGTTTGACAATCATAATCAAGTGACATACATTTATATCCAATCCGACTTAATGTCAACAAGCATTCATTCTGAAACACACTGGTAAGTGACTTATCTCTGTCAGTGTACTTTTCCATGTATAAATTAACATAATTTAGGCAATTTTGATACATTATATTGGAAAAAACTAACAACATCCTGCATTAAGTTACGATTTCTTTAAACGCTAAAACGCTTACTGCCTTATTTTTGTCAAACATGTTATACATGTATAGCAAGCATATATGAAGGGCTTTCTTGGGATTGCTTTTAGCCCCCAGTGGTCAAGGTCATTTTCACTGTTACTTAATATAGAAAATCGGGTAACGGTCAATAACTTAAGTTTGGAATGAGTTCTTTCAATGGAATTAGGTATATAGCAAGCTTATGTAAAGATCCTGCTTGCTTGGGATTGCTTCTCCTCCACGCCCCCCCCCCCCACCCCAGGTTCAAGGTCACTGTTACTTAAAATAGAAAATCGTCTTCCGATCAAGTTAGAAATGAGCTATTTCAATGAAACTTGGTGTGCAGCAAGCTTATATAAAGACGTCGCTTGAGGGCCAGGCAGGGTCAAGGTCACTGTTACTTAAATAGAAAATTTCGTTTCCCGAAAATAACTATAGTTTGGATGAGATATTTCAAAGAAGCTTGGAGTGTGGCGAGCTAATGTGAAGATATCATTTGGGATTGTTTTGTTTGTTCTCCATTGGTAATGGTGAAGGTCAATGTCACTTAAAAACACAGAAAATCGATTTCGGGTCAATATTCGAATGACATAATTTAGTGAAACTCTCTTGGGATTGCTTTTTTCAAACCAAAGCGTCAAGGTCACTATAATTTAAAAAAAGTCAGTTTCTGGTCAAAAACTATATATATAGTTAGGAATGAGATATTTTAATTAAACCTGTTAAAAAGCATTCCTATTTGAAAATCTCACTTTGGATTTGCTTTTGAGTCCCATAGGATTAAGGTCAAAGTCACTGTTACTAAAAATAGAAAATTTGAGTAAGGAGTGAGGTATTAAACGAAACAATCTCTGTTTCTGTGTTTATTATAGGAACACTATATGTCCCGTAACACTAATCTATGGTCGCAAATAGCAACACAGTAAGTAAAAGGGGTCAATATATTTTAAGGTAAATCGAATAAAAGGAAATGATTTATCTCATACCGCTTATATTCTGTAGCTTAAAGGCAATTGTAAAATCTTTGTTTAAACTACACTTAATAAATGAAAACGAAATTTACATCGTAACAGATTGGTTAATAAAGAGTAGAAGTTCGTTTGTTAAAATATCTTGTTAAAAATAGAAGCGTTTATTGTATGTTTGTTTATACTTATGCACAGGTATGT